TTTTAACATCAGCTACAATATCCCTAGTACAACGATTTGATGATTGTAGCTAAGTCTCCCTTAGGTAAACTAATTTTCGTATGAATGAGCTTTTGGGAAAGCAAAGGAACTTGGAAAGCACATGTAGTAATGTGAGTACTTTTCTTCTTTGTAATAAATTACATGAGAGAGTCTTGCTGGTTATATAAACTTCAGAAGAAACGTATGTGCTTTGGTGAGTCAGGATGCTACATTAAAATGACTTTTTGCTAGATGCTACTCTGAAATTTTATTTAACTGAAGCATCTAATTCAAGCCCATGAAGTTACTTGTCAGGTATAGGTAAGTGATTTAATAGAATTTTAAATTTCCATTACAGTTTCATAGAAACCACAGATACCTTGCTGTTATCAAAAGTCTCTTTGAGTGAAATTATTGAAGGACATTTTCCTTCCACTCCTGAAACCTTCCCATTAAGAAATATATTGGTGGAGTTCTTTTAGTGAACTTCAGTTTTGTCTGTGAGTCACTGTAGTGGCAGAACAGTTAGAGTGAGGCTTAGAAAATTAATTATTACTACTCTAAAAACCTCTAAACTCATTGCTACCTAGTTGGAACCAACTTATATAGCTGTCTTTCCTTTGGATATTTTAGATTTCCCATTTTTGTCCTGTGGAGCAACTGGTAGATTTGAACCACCAGATGAACATGACCTTTAGGAAGCGCTGTATAAACAGTAGACTAGAGTGATTATTAAAGAAATAATCAAAGGCATTGCTATTTATGACCCCAGAATAGATGCCTAGCTGAGCACCAACAGGTTTCTAAGGTTATAAACCATTCAAGAGGAGATTGCCAGTCTTTCTTCTTCAGAACAGTTTGTGGATTTAAACCATGAGAGGTGAGGCAGTTATATTTGTATCTTAACTCTCCATGGATCATGCCACTGAAACAGTATTATTGATACTAGGTATATATAATCTATAGTAATATAGGTTATGCATACACAAATGTATATGTAATCTGTATTAATAGAGTATATACACATAATTTAAATTGTTTGAAGTATCAGAAAATGTAATCTCTTCATTAGCTTAAGTTTCATTCAGAATGCCTGTGAGTCCTCTGTGAGCACTACAACCCATTATTGTACCCAGTGGATATATAAAGAGTGCCCTGGGAAGGACCAGAGGAGGGTAGAAACATGTACAGCCTCTGCCTCACAGAACTTAGTCTTGGA